TGGAAACAGAGAGCCACCCAAGACAGTCGAGATATACGAATGTAAAAAAACCGTATCAGTTACTGAGAGGAAAAACAAAAGAGTAGTTCTTCAATGGATCCCTGGACACTGTGGCATTATAGACAATGAGCGCGCTGACACACTTGCTAAGAAAAGGACCCCAATTTTGAGAGGTATAGACCGGCCGATGTCTTTCCACACAGTGAAAACCTTAATCAGGAGAGAATTCAAGACTTCAAGAAGAAATGAACTTAAAACTCGAACAAAGGAGAAGCAGTGGACAGCGGCACTCTCTAACATAGACGACTGACCAAGAATCGAAGTTGTTGCAGACTATAGACTACGTTCCGAACATGATTGCCTGGCAAAACACCTTCCCAGATTGAGAGTATGCACTCAACCCACATGCCCTCTATGTAACCTACAGGAGGAAATGGAGAAAACCCACCTGATTCTTTGTCCAGCCCTTAAGACAACGATAGAAACTCAAGGATACTGAGAAGCCAGAAGTTAACTAATGAACAACTGTAAACTGCTCTAAAGCCCGCTGTTTGATACAATAAGGACTATGTGATTACTTTTTTACCACTTAATGAAATAAACTTAGCAGTGATCAATATATATATAACTTATAACTTATATATATAACTTATATATATAACTTATATAACTTATAAGACATTGAAAGATGAGTAAAATTCGATAACTAGAAGACCAGTTTATTAACTAGAAACATACCATCTCGGAAAAAGAGTCTTCCTTGAATCAGACTCACAGAGGGCTTGCTTGGTACATTGCCACTTGAACGAGAGACCTTTCGAGGGTCTTTTTCGTTGTCAACACCATCAGGGAAAGAGTTTGCTGTGAAATTAACAATATATTTTGGATTTACAATCTCCATGTTAACATGTACATGCAGAAATTCGGGTGTTAGCAGCTTGACATTAAGGGATTGACCACAGTCAATACCCAAGTATTCCTTGATAGGAAAAAGAAAAGAGGGGAAACCGATGAGGCAGGAACCATTAGAAACCTGACTAAAGAGAAATACATACCGGAGGTAGTGGGGAAGTAGCCCTACTGATAACCTCGCTGGGTAGTATGAGGGCCTGTTTAGGGGCACCACACTTCTTCAATAACGTTGGAAGTTGATCTATAGAGATATCAAAGCGCAGGGGCAGCCAATAGGCTGTCAAACCGACTCCCAATCGGCACACAGGAACCCCGAGAATTGTGTCATTGGTGCTTGTGAACTCACCGAAGTTTCCCAACGGTTGAAGGAGACTTTTCAAACACTCATGTTCATCCTTATACTTGGAACTAAAAAACAGAAAAAAATGGAAGAGCAATTAAAAATTATGAAAGGAATAGCTATTGTAAAAGCTTCCCCATTATCCATTGTAGCACACTCAAATAGCACAGAATACAATGGGATTAAGTAAAATCAAACTCAATAAATTGCGTCATTTCTAAATGACAAGTGGAGAAACGACTTTTGTTGAAACAGAGTAATGCAAGTAGTGTAGGAATGGCAACCTGATTCAAATTCGCAACCCAATGCGAAGCAGATACAGCTTCAATGTTATGCCATGAAAGATTAATACATATGGAGAAAAATGAACACAATCGCGAGAAAGTGCCTGAAAGGTACACAAAAAAGAGTCCAATGGTTGGGTAGGGGAAGAGGTATTAGTGGTAGACATCAATAAACTAAGGATGTTGAGGTAACCAGAAAATTATTTGAAACAGGACCTGCACGTTCAAAATGCAGGCTTCATTGCCTGGAGTCATGATTGAATTTACGATCACATTGTCAGAGCCTTTTGAATAACTAACTAGGTTGAATGTAGTTTCTTTTGTTAGTTAATAACTCGAGTACAGCGATAAAAGTTGGTAATCTTAAAATAGTAAAATTCGATGTGAGTAAAAAATTTCTCAGACAAATACCATAAATTTTAATAGGACCAAGATTTACAAGTTCAAACATATTTTTAGACCTTCATTAATAACATACAAAAGTTCGATCATTTTATGGAAGGTCAGAATCAAGACAGGTTGTATTTCAACCCTTCAAATGGGAAATTATGAAAACAGGGTTAACATAACTTTTTTAACTAAACTAAATTGGAAACCCGTTTAGATCACAGAAGCTTTACAACGGGTATATGGGGACTCTCTGCCATGTATCATATCCATTTATAATTGGATTAAATGCTATAAAGGGGGAAGAGTGCAACTTGATGACGAAACACGAGGGAGACCCATCACAACAAGAAATCAAGAAAACATACCTCCTGTGCGAATTGTCATTGAGGAAAATACCAATGAAGTAGGAATCGCACACGATTCAGAATTTCCAATTCTGATTGAAAATCCTGACTTGAGCAAGCCCTCGGCAGACACAGAAGGTTCCAAAAGAGTTGCAGTAACAACAACTAACCTAAAGAACTTAACTTTCTTTAGCAACCTTGGCTTCTCTCATTGCCAAGTAATGTTATCGAAGATGAAACCTTGAACTACCAATTTAAACCAGAAAACAAAATTCCATCAAAAGTGAACATTTGTGTCTTTCAAGTTCAAAGCTGAAAGGTGTGTTAAGAAGGTCATGACCATTATTTATGGGATTCAAAAGGAATGCCATTGAGAGATTTTCTTGAAGGACAGAAAACGGCCAACTCGAATTAATATGTAGGCAGTTTGAAGATATTCCTCGTCAAAAAGAGCGCGGGAAACTACACAGTCATATCTTGTTCCATCGTGATAATACATGTGCACTTTCCTCAAAACCAGTCAGGTCCTGTTATACGTATGTCAATTGGAAACACTCCCGCACCCTCCTTGTAGTTATACCAAGCTATCTCAGACTTTTTTATTTCCAAAATTGAAAGAACGACTTAAAGGCAGCCGAGTAACGCCTTTAGATGAAACGAAAAGGCATAGAATTTCATGGCATCAGAGACAGCTTCCAAAAAACTACCGTGAGGAAATATACGTGTAGAAAAAGAATGCCAACACGTGTTAAATAAATAAATAATGAAATTTTTAATAGAGCATTTTGAATCATTCTTGAATCTATCCCTGGCGACAGCGATCAGGCCAATTTAGTAATAACAAGAGAAAACGAAACGTTCTAAGAGATTGTGTCCATCAGGTGGATCACAGTGCAAATTGTAGCAAATCAATAGATTTCAATTGAGCCATTTCTGGACAAGTATGCGACTCATAATTCTTGACAGAATAAAATTTGATTAGCGTTACAGTCATCAAATACAATGATAAAGTTAATTCAATATAATTTTTGAAACGATTAATCTTATTTTTCAGGTAATAACAATTACATAAAGGGGGCAAAACGTACCAAAATTCATCTGACTGAACGAGAATGAGAGCATTGAGATTGAACCACTGTTGAATTTGAGCCTGACCTGACTGGGGTCGTTGTCTGCCCACTCCGAGGGAGAGAGCTCGAATGAGATGCACTGCACTTCCAACTCGGCAGGAGGGATGGCCAGAGAAGAGAACGATGGGATTTGAGGCCCAAACATTAGGAGAGGAGTGGAGAGAATTCAGCACCATCAGCCTATCTTTATTAATACGCTAAAAATATAAATATTATAGACCTCTATAATATTTGAGGCTGGAAGGATATATCTAAGCACACTATGATAAATTGACATCGTAGCCATATGAAGAAATAATGTGTATCTAGATGGGCATGACTAAACCTTCACTCAAACCCAAGCATAAACGAATGATCTGGTAAGGAACACAGGAATGGGAATGGCATTTGGAACACCAGTTCCCATTGCAACGGTTGTTGGGTCTCGGAATTAAATGAAGTACTCTACTTATTTTCCTCTTTCATGATCTAATTCAAACCGTTCCAAGCGTTTAAGTGTATTCCACACACACCGTGCACGTGTCATTTCAAAGGTCGCACTTGATTCCAATCGGCATACACTCAATGACAGGAATGGTTACGGCACTTATTATGTAAACCTTATATAGAAGAGGGCAAAATGCAGATTTCTTAGCATGGGGTTCATGATACTGCTCTCTAGAGAAGATGAACGTAGGAAAATCCTTTCCTACATTAATATCCTGCCAGTATGTACGCAAACGGACCTCGGAAACACTAACATTGCACTCCAAACGAATTGAATGATTAATGCAAGTTTACAATAAAAGTTAGATGCATTTTCGGGGCTAAAAACTTTAACGAAAGAGGTAAAATAGTAAAAGCCACAGAATAAGAAGATATTTGAAGACATACAAATGGGAGTTACTTTAAAGTGGAAAATATTAATACCAGTAGCATTAAACAAATTTGAGATCTTCGATAGGAAACGTAACAGACAGGTTAGAAATAATAATTTGAGAGATAGAGAACCAATTAGAGAACAATCATGCCGAAATCAATCTGCTGAATTTCGCGACTAGACGTAAGCTCTCTTATGCTCCTTCTGAAATAGTCTGCATTGTAAATAAAAGTCTAAAGCAAGGAACATCAAAATGCATTAGATTCTGGAATTTACAAGACATCTTGTATTCATGATGCAATTATTCAATCGATGTAAGCGAACATTAATAACACTCTGAGTTGTAAACAAAATGAAAATCGTAAAAAAACTACTTGAGAGAACAATCAAACAGAAAACTCACTTCATCAAAAGAGAAGGGCAAACGAGGATCGGAGGTTTTAATCTGCTTCTCAGAGACCAACCACTCGACAAATGCATTGACATAAACCAAACTGGCCTTTGCTGCTGCAGAGATAAAGTATGAGGGAGATTCGCCAACCCTCCCAATCAATGAAGTGCCTCCGATATGAGTGGATGTCGTCGATGTCCCTCTTGAGGACTTGACACAATCATCATCACCACAAACCGGCTGATCAAATGCCTCAATTATCTTACCATCAAACTCACTCTTGGCTGCCTCAACAGCTTCAAGAAGATTATAGATAAGTCCAGAGGGCATTGTTGGGATCAAGACGTGTCCACCGCGAGCCAATGTCTGCACTAAAACAATGACTAAAAGATGACGACTTCAAACTCACCTGTAATAGTTTTAAAACGCTGAAGAGCAACATCAAAGGGAAGAGAATTGGAAGTGTTTACTGCTCCAACTATAAGTACATCGACATCTCGAAAATCGGAAAAGTCCAGAGGCTATAGAGGAAAAAAAGAAAAATATAGCAAGGTCAATCAAATTTTCAGAAGTTTAAATTTTTAGCCTATCAACTAAATTAAGGAATTACCAATGCAAATGATGGATAGAGAGATGAACGAGAAATGTAAGCAATCTTCTCATAATCTGTTTTCATAATCCAGTTGCAACTTCCGATTTCGTAACCAGCAGATGCACACTTGACTTTCACAAGACCAAAAAAGTCCTGGAAGTTCAAAAAATCTCAACGTATTTTCAACGTACCACGTATTGATTGTAGGCAAGAGCTTGGACCTTTGACATAGCGCTGGAAGCCTGTTCTTTAGTATAACGTGGCAACCAACGCGAACTATCGTGTATTCTAAGCAAACATTTCGAGAGAAAGAGACAAATCTTACCGCTTCTCAACAGAATCCATCACGTTTGACGATATGAACTCAGAGTGAGCAAATAAATCATCAATAAGGACTCTTAAGGACTTTAGTTTTGATTCAATACAACCTACTTTCCAAATTGTACCAAGGGAGCAGGGGCAAGCACCTTTCCAAAGTATTTTTTCACATCAGTCAAATAGGGCAACGTAATGAGGCTCTGGGAATGTGATATTAAAATAGCGTCAACATATTCCAACTCAATTGTATCAACATCGTCCTAAAAGCGTGAAACCAGTGAAGAAACTAAATGTACATCAAAAAGATCAGGCTCTTTATTGAAGTTTTTCTTCGAAGAATCAGTTCCTAAGAAAATATCTAACAAAATATAAGGCAGGCTTTTAACAAACCAGTGCAGTCGCACAATAGGCGGACATCATTTATGCAGATTAAATAACAAGGAAAGCTCGGATCGAAATTGAACCTTTTCTGTAACAAGTTAATTATTAAAATTAAATTTACGATTTTTAGAACACTGTCGGTCGACATTTCAGAGATCATATGCTCTAAGTGGACAGCAGGGCTATTTAGTTACAAGGTAAATTCAGCCTGTGATTTTCTCCAAAAATATTTCTTATTTAAATATAATGATATGAACAAAGGTTATTGTGCAATTTAAAAATGAAATAATATTAATTGTTACATTTGTACTTTTACTAAATTTTTGCTTGTTGCACGGTAATATATGTTATTAGACCTGATTAAACCTCGATTAAATTCACCCTTTTTCGGAAGCGATTATCTGAGTGGAGCAAAATCCAGGCATCCTCTTTGCAGTATAATCTCAGATTGCAAGTTGAGGCTAAGATAACAACTTTATCCAATGAATATTTGCGTTCGCGAAATTCAGTTTAATTATTATGATACTCATCTCACTTTCGTTGTCAAAATTCAGAACCCTTGTATATGTGCTTTTTAACGTTCAAGCCAAAATTAAGACTAATTTTCATACTGCCATTAATAATACTTGAACTTGCCATTATTTTTACTCTTTTCTATGTAAAATGAAATCATGACGAATGTAGTCCTCGTAAATAGCTGCACCATCAAATCGAATGATTTTATTCGTTTGATCATTTTGGCAGAATAGACGATGTATTCGAAAGTTGAATAAACCGAATTCATATTTAAGCGTTATTATTTAGAAACTATTTATACCAAAATACTTCTATGCAATCACTTATTTATACCAAATGGCAGGCTGTTCCCAATTATTTATTTATTTATATCAAATGGCAGGAGTTTTGAAGATAGTTATTCATTAGCCCTGGAGCTGACTTCGGGGCTTCACAGAGAGGCGAAGGAACATCAAAGTGACAAAAAAGCTTCACAGAAAGGAAGATGAACATCAAAGTGGCAAAAATCCTTCACAGAAAGGATGAGGAACACCAAAGTGGCAAAAAGTCATACATACAGAAAGGAAGAGGAACACCAAAGTGGCAAAAAGTCGAGAGAGGGGGACAGAATAATGATTCACAGACGTAAAAGAGACAGGCCTTCACAGAAGGAAGGTTCATCAAAGTAGCAGAAAGTCCAAGGGTTGAGGGAAGGTGCATCAAAGTAGCAGAAAGTCGAGGGGTAGAAGAGGGAAGGTCCATCAAAGTAGAAGAAAGTCAAGGGGTGGGAAAGGAAAATGAACATCAAAGTGGCAAAAAATCGAGAGGGGTAAACAGAAGAGTGATTCACAGATGTAAAAGAGACAGACAGACTGACACAAAGTAGAAGAGTGATTCACAGATGTAAAAGAGACAGACAGACAGGGGTCGAATATGACAAATAGTCGGGCCATAGTAGTTTGAGGTCAGAAGTCAACTGACGATCAATAGACTTTTTTGCCATATAAGTATACGTTGCCCAGGGTTCACCATGTGGAGGTAAGTCTATTGCGCACCCCTCTATGCAATCATAAATAATCATTTACTTACATCATCGACAGGTTACATTAACGACTCTCATGTCCCGGCGCTAGGATACATTTTATGTTCAGATTCGTACAAGTCACCGTATGCGAGACATAGCCTGTTAGTAATAAAGCACCAACCAATCTACATTGCCATTCAATGTCACCACTTGGATATGCATGTCAAACTGACTGCAATTATTTTTTATGGCTTTCCACTATATTTGGATCTTTAGATTTTTGATTTGTTAAAACAACTCTTCATTTAAAGTTGGCTCTTGTTCAAATTCGGCTTGGATATTAAAAAAACGTTCTTTCTATGTACATCAGAAGAATTTATCCTTTTAAATAGAGCAATACATGTATTTCTTATCGTCTTTGAAGAATTCATCCTTCATTTAAAAACTAATGTAATACCACCTAATATCCTCAGAAAAAACGTAAAAAATAGATCAAAAGATGGGGAAAGATGACAAACCTAAACATGGTAGAGTTTTGTGGAATGGTATACAGTTACCTCAGAAAATCGTATGATGTCTAAAGTTAATTACTAGTCCCGTTAAAAGGTTTATAAGCATATATTATCTTAAATGTAAAAGTTTAGAAAATCTGAAATTATTGATAATGTAGAGAGAAAAAAATGTCCAGCATCTGATACTTACTCGTATTCTTTGACCGGCGTAGCACTCCTTCAGATACATGGAATTTGAAGTAGAACTTGTTGGTACTGGGGGTAAAAGCGCATACGTATAAAGACTTTCATCCCTCTGGCCAACTTTAACCAAGTGAGCATAGGCTTGGTTTGCGAGATGAACTATGAATCGGTCTGTGCTACGATCATGATAGACTACTATAAAGACACTATAAAACCAAGTTCATGGTTTTTAATTTAACGGTATCCAGTAAATCTGATTCTCGGACTTCATGAAAGCGATGCATTTTAAAAATCAGCTAAAAGTCTGGTTGAACCAGAGAAGAATTGATTTCAACTCAAAGCTCACATGTGAATATTGAAAATTACATAATGTAGAGATATCGTAATTAAGGATCAGGGTGATTTCCAGATGACTTTGAGAAAGTAACCACTCAATTCTGCTAGGTGGATGATTATACAACTAGAATTTACAAAGCCAATGGAACAAATGCTGATAACTATAGAAGTATTTGCCCAATTGATCTAATTGAAAGATGGTTTTCATTGCCGGTCTGTGAAAAGCCGAACCTCTTATTGAATGCCCTACATGGATTTTGTGCTACACGATCATTGTCATAAGAACAGAAAATCAAGACAATATCGGTCGTCACATTTTCACTGATTTAAGAAAATTCTTTAATTAGCTTCCGATTTTTACAAGTCCCTCAAGGCGACGTATAAGTAAGATGTCCAGTGCTGTTGGCAATTGCACTGGAAATCCCTTAATAACCCAAACAGCCACACCAGCGTCTCAAACGAAATACTTATTATGAGGAGAGGCGTAGGGGGCATTCCAGTTAATAACTAATGAAGTGATTTACAGGACTAGAAAGCTCTTTGGAAGATGCAAATGACCGATGCGTCTTAGCACCATCGATTTTACAAGGTGAGCAACTTCATCAAAGCCTTATAACTTTTCCTGGCAAATACGCGAAAGAAATGCCATATGATAATCCGATAGGGTAAAAATTCTATTAAGCTTGAAGCATAATTTTTTTTGCGCAAAGAGCAAATTGATGAAAATTGAGGGTCAATCTGAGAACCCTAATCAAATGATTCGTAAAAAATACCACATGAAAAATCTCTTTTGTGGATTCACTCGGAAACACAACCATTAAGTTGTGTCTATGCTAATATCAAAAAAGCTTTAATTCGCATATGGATGTTCAATTAACTGGCACATCTTTTTTAAGATTACAAAAAACAAATAGGGTAAAATATAAAATCTGAAATTCATAGATTCTTGAACATTATGCCATGGTATCTGTTATCTATAGGTGAATGGCTATAGAAAAGTGAATTGAAGATTTATTTATTTCAAATGTCAGGCGTTTTGATAGTTATTAATCGCCCTATAGTTGACTTCGAGCTTCACAGAAGGGAGGAACATCAAAATGAAAAAAAGTCGAGAGGGGGTGCAGAAGTGTGACTCACAGATGTAAGAGATGGACGGACACAAAGGTATAAAAGAAGGTAAGGTGAGTACTGTGAAAGTATTCGAATATGTCATACAGTGGGACCATAGTAATTTGAAGTGAGAAGTCAACTGCCGATTTATAAGCTTTTTTTCGTATGTGTTTACGTTGCCCAGGAAGTACTACTTGGAGGTAAGTCTATCGCACACCCCGTGAACTGAAGATTGAGTGCGTCAGATTGAATTATTAATCCATAAAACGAAAGTCCTTACAAAATTATCTTTATAAAAATTATTTTGTGTATTTTTCCATTACCTACGACAATTTTCTTCCTTTCCGTATCTAATATGAACTTTGAATTCTACATTTAAACTGGGACATTGCATTTCCTCAACAATTCACTTTCCGCGAGTTAAAATTAAGATTAAAAGACCCCAAACACAGTCTCACTTGTACCTCGTTTGGGTAAATTTTTTTTGTTCCCTCCCCATCTTCTGACTTTTTGAGTTCAAGGGGTTCGTTTGGTTTTTGTTTGGGATATTCTGAATATGGGGTGTGCGATAGACTTACCTCCACGTGATGCACCTTGGGCAACGTATACACATAAGGCAAAAAGTCTATTAACCGGCAGTTGACTTCTCACTTCAAACTACCATCACCTCACTATATGTCCTATTCGACTACTTCCATAGTACTCACCTCACCTTTTTTCTACCTTTTCTACCTTTGTCTTTGAAACACTCTTCTGTTCCCCCCTCCCTCTCGACTTGTTTCCACTTTGATGTTCCTTTCCCTCTGTGAAGCTTGAAGTCAACTAAAGGGCTAATGATAACCATCAAATGCCTGCCATTTAATATAAA